TTGACAAAGACATCCACGTTCCCAAATCTGCAAAAAGATTTAAGTTTTATTCCCTCTTGGGTCATTAAGAACCAAGCCAGTGCTAAATCCCAGCTTAACTTCATCCATCCAGTCTACATTCACTGTGATCACCTGCCACATGGGGATCTCTGGGAGCCACCAAAGAAAAAACACTGCAGTATAATGGACCACACGCTCTGGTGGAAATAAATGAACTATATTCATCCTCATAAAGTGGCCTCGGCTCCCTATAGGCGAATGAACCTCAAGGTTTCTCTTAACCTCTTTATTTTATTAAATTATTTGGTTGTTCACACCTGGAGCATGTACCCTCCCCTAAAGCCTGAAGATAATCCTCCTCTGCTGTTCTAGAGGAGATAAACAATGGATTCTCTCCCTGGATTTAGCCAAATCCAATTTAGGACACAGTGTCGAGCTACCGGCCTCTCCTGTTAGTCACAACAGTTCTATGCCCTCTCAAGCAGTGGCCAGCGATTAATACTCTTTAATGGAAGATGAATTACAGAGAGAGTTGTTTTTTTCTGTACATGACGCTGCTCGCGAATGAGCAAGGCTTGGGCCTTTTAATAATTTTCTTGTAAGCAAAGTTCAGAGACAGTACATAGATTCTAGGGGACTGGGGAAGATCATTTTAACAGATGATTAATCTTGCAAGCATCCAAGTCATTATGCAACTTCATACCTATGGAAAAAAGTATAATATTAATAACTGCATGAAGGAATGAATGTAGTTATTCATATTTGCCTAACATTTGAGCAGTCGCTATATAGATGTAGTGCACACTTTAAACCCTGTGTGTTGGACTTTGAGTACTGCCTAAATACAAGGTCAAGTACAGTCAAGCTAACATAATAAATTAAAGCACATATTTACACTAAACATGACAAATTCCAAATATTTATAACAAAAATAAATATCATATTTATAAAAAAACGACATAATATAAATATTTACAATAATACAAATGACTAACAAATTACTAAAATAATTATTTCTAAATATTTATTATAATACATTATAAATATTATATCATAAACATTACATTTAAAATATGTATTTTGCTACAAGAAAAAGATTGTGTAAAACTACAAAGAGTTCTAGGAACACAGGTAAGTGATGATTCAAATGAACCTGTGAATCATTTTTTGAACAAGTTCACTGAATCAAACCGTTCAAACAAACGACTCACTAAAATAAATACTTCCAAACAACGCTTATAAAAAAAGTGTTGCTCATTTAATTGTAAGGCTGTACTGTTAAATATCTGTTTGTTATAATACATTATAAATATTATATCATAAACATTACATTTAAAATATGTATTTTGCTACAAGAAAGATTGTGTAAAACTACAAAGAGTTCTAGGAACACAGGTAAGTGATGATTCAAATGAACCTGTGAATCATTTTTTGAACAAGTTCACTGAATCAAACCGTTCAAACAAACGACTCACTAAAATAAATACTTCCAAACAACGCTTATAAAAAAGTGTTGCTCATTCAATTGTAAGGCTGTACTGTTAAATCTCTGTTTGCTGAAAATGTGTTAAAAACGGCTAAACTACTAGTTTGAAATGTCTTTTGGCAAAAGAAGTACAGTATGTGCTTTAAAGGGGATGAATGACAACTCCTTTGAGGCGGTGTTACAATGCAAACTGTCAAACAGCCAAAGCACAACACACTGTCAGCACACTTATTCAAGCACTGCTTGAAAAAATTCTAGTTGAACTAGTCAACTTCAAAAAACAACCATCGACAACTGTGACCCCATCCCCAGCTACCCCACAACCCTGCTAGTGTTGAAGAAGCTACAACGCAAACCCAAAATAAAGATATGAATTCTGCACCTTTGAGAATCACTGTGTACATATGATAGATGTTAATTAACAGCAAGCTAGAATGTTCTTGCACACAGGCAGAGCAACAGTACATTAAAGACATGAATAAAAGATGAAGTGCACCTATCGAGGGTTGCCTAAGAGACACGGACAGGGATCTTTTATCCATTGTCAGTATCTCCGGTGAAAACAAAACTGGGCTTCTTCATTCTCACTCTCACTTTCTATCTATCGCAGTACACACAAATGCAAGACATGAAACCAAGGAGGAGCTCTGATGGAGTCACAGGAGGTGCATTCATTGCCTGTTTATTCATTTTCTAATGTTCAGGAAAATGACACTGAAGGGGGGCTGTTTGGGATCGGCCCAAACAAAATTAACGGTACCATGCATTGGCATCCTTGGGAACATTCACAGCAGATTTATTCCTCCTTTTAATTCCCCTTTGTTCATCCTCTATTGAGTCTTGCAGGTGGGAACGCCAGCAGTGGTTCTGCAGGCATGCCGCCCACTTTATGTCACTTGCGATAAACTGTGATTAGTTAATAGGAAGAGGGCCAGCAGTGTTCCTTATACTTCTTACCACCAGCTGTCCCACTGGCCCTTTACCCGGGCCCGAGATGATAGTCAATCTTGTTTGTGTGCATCTTTGAAGAATGTGAAAGCAAATGTACTTGTGGCTGCACAGGTGTCAGTAGGCGGAGTCAGATTCAACAACTAAAGTGAGAAATTGCCTAAATTCAGATTAGCATTCTAGTGTATGTTCTTAGTATTTCTGCCATTAAAAAATAAAGTATAGCATAGGGCATGACAAGACAGGAGACACGGACAGGGATCTTTTATCCATTGTCAGTATCTCCGGTGAAAACAAAACTGGGCTTCTTCATTCTCACTCTCACTTTCTATCTATCACAGTACACACAAATGCAAGACATGAAACCAAGGAGGAGCTCTGATGGAGTCACAGGAGGTGCATTCATTGCCTGTTTATTCATTTTCTAATGTTCAGGAAAATGACACTGAAGGGGGGCTGTTTGGGATCGGCCCAAACAAAATTAACGGTACCATGCATTGGCATCCTTGGGAACATTCACAGCAGATTTATTCCTCCTTTTAATTCCCCTTTGTTCATCCTCTATTGAGTCTTGCAGGTGGGAACGCCAGCAGTGGTTCTGCAGGCATGCCGCCCACTTTATGTCACTTGCGATAAACTGTGATTAGTTAATAGGAAGAGGGCCAGCAGTGTTCCTTATACTTCTTACCACCAGCTGTCCCACTGGCCCTTTACCCGGGCCCGAGATGATAGTCAATCTTGTTTGTGTGCATCTTTGAAGAATGTGAAAGCAAATGTACTTGTGGCTGCACAGGTGTCAGTAGGCGGAGTCAGATTCAACAACTAAAGTGAGAAATTGCCTAAATTCAGATTAGCATTCTAGTGTATGTTCTTAGTATTTCTGCCATTAAAAAATAAAGTATAGCATAGGGCATGACAAGACAGGACAGGACAGGACAGGATAGGAGTATGCTATTCCAGTTCCTATATCTTATATCCACTACCATTTACTTTGCAGGTGTCTGATTTTGAGTGTCAACAATAAAATCTCCTGGCAAACAAATTTGCAGAGGATGAACAGTGCTATACAATGCTAACATTTGTTTTGCAGATGTAAATTCATCAAGAGATAATTATTTAACACACCTGCCTCTGCAAACATTTGCTGAGCAAGGTTTGTCGATTTGTCATGAAGGAACTTTGATACATTTCAAGAGTTTAATTTAAAAAATGTAAATTTAGCAAAATTTCAAAATCCCTGGTAGGCCTTTGAGCAGATGATGCATTTTGGTAGCCTGAATGGAAAACACAATAGCCCCAGAATGTCGGGCTTGAGATTTTGCGAGCCCTGCACTGCCATCTTTTCAGCTTTGAAATCCAACTTCAAGTAGTGCTTTTGCATATTTCTAAATAGGAATGTAAGAAACATTTCAAATTAAATGCACTGTAACACAGTATAAGCATGCACAATGACAAGCATGCTACTGTTTAAAACATTTTCATCAAGAGATAATTATTTAACACACCTGCCTCTGCAAACATTTGCGGAGCAAGGTTTGTTGATTTGTCATGAAGGAACTTTGATACATTTCAAGCAAAATTTCAAAATCCCTGGTAGGCCTTTGAGCAGGTGATGCATTTTGGTAGCCTGAATGGAAAACACAATAGCCCCTGAATGTCGTGCTTGAGATTTTGCGAGCCCTGCACTGCCATCTTTTCAGCTTTGAAATCCAACTTCAAGTAGTGCTTTTGCATATTTCTAAATAGGAATGTAAGAAACATTTCAAATTAAATGCACTGTAACACAGTATAAGCATGCACAATGACAAGCATGCTACTGTTTAAAAAAAATTTTCTCTGCATAGTGCAAACTGATTCAGTATATACAGAATTCAGTAAGTAGTACGTCATTCCAAACAAGTAATGGGACAATAATGACAGGCATATTTTTTAAATGTGTGAGTTCTAATCATTTGACACTTGAAAAACAGCTGAACACAGCAGAGGGTGAAAGATTGTCCACTAATCAATTGAAAGGCAGATTTCCAGACTTATCAAAGATAATTACCGTTAACTACACAAACACCCCAAGATACCCCCGCTGCTTATCTCAACTTCTCACTCAGCAACAATGCTAAATTTACACTGTTATCATACTATTTTCTTTTATTTCCCTGTCTATATTACACACAGTCACACACACACACACACACACACACACACACACAATCAGCAGCTTGTCTTAACCGTTCTCCGATGGGATAGTACAATGTATGTAATTTTGTTCTACAACAGTCTCAAAGCCTCATTTTCACTTTTGTTAAATTTATAATTACACATCTTAATAACCAACCAGCCATTAATAGCTTTAATGCAAATAGGCTTAACTTCCAGACTTCATTTGAGCACTTCACACATCAAAGTATTTTAGGAAACAAAATACATGTTTGCTTAAAAAAAAAAAAAAAGACATTCTGTCATCAGCTACTCAGCTTCATGTTATTTCAAACCCATATGTAGATTTTCAGTAAATTTTGGTCTGTTGCTCACTCACAGCTATCATATGGCTTCTGAAGAATTGAAATAGTTTTTATAGTGCTTTTTGTCATTTTTGGAGCTTTACAACACCAGTCTCCCTCCACTTTCACTTTTCAAAAAGCAGCATGAACAATCTGCTAAATATCTGCTTTTGTGGAGAAAAACTCCATAAACAGTTCGAAATGACATGAGATTTTTTATTTTGGGGGGGCAGAAGTATTCTTTGAATTATGCACTTGGAATTCAAACAGACTTGAATTAGAGCATAAGTAAAAGCCAGCAGGATCACTGGGAAATATTAATAAGACAGTTACACTCATCTCTCTCCCAGGACCTAAAGTGCGCAAAGGCCAGAGATCACAAAAGGGTATGAAAGGTCACAAGGTGATCGGATTACAATTTCATCAATTAGCTTGCCACGGAATGTGGGTTTCCCTGAGAATAATAATTGCTCATCGACTTGTGAATACCTTGTGTAGTTCCTGCCCCTCTGCGAGATAGACTTCAAATGACAGTCCCATTTGCAAGCCATACTTCTATGTTGTTTACTGAGACAACGCATTCATCATCCATTTTTCATATAAACAGCAAAGATGTTCGTACAGACATAGCCTGTTTGCATTAATCACGAGGAGACGCATATGCATTTATTAAGACTGTGACCGAGTTAATTTTTACGCTAATAATTTGAAAGTGGTGAGGAAGGGTGTAACAACACTATCTAAGTGTCAAAGTGTGAATGAGTGTGTATGTGCATCCCTGAGGAGGACTCAGTCTGGGAAAAGCCAGTGGTGTGTGAAGCTTTGTTGAGTGGATCGATATCACCCAATCTCCCTATTCTCTCCCAGGACTCCCTATAAATCTGGTGCAAAAGCTAATTAATGCAAAGCTGCATTGGTGGTGAGATAGAGAGCATATGGACAGACAGTCGATGCTTATGGGCTGTCTTTAAAAGTGACACTAATCTCTAGCATGATTACACTGTATGGGTTTTTATGTTCCCATCTGACACAAACTGTCATCCTCTGGAATGCATGCAGGCACTGATCAAGCCAATTATTTGCCATCTCAAATTTGAGCAAGGAAAGCTATTCTCAGTCGCTCTCAAAAAGGTCAGCAGCCATTCCGAATGCAGAGCAATGCAAGGATGGGATAAGGGCTGAAGTTCTAAATGCTAATTTGGAGGAAAAGGTTAATAGGGGACTTTGCTGTAAAACAGATAGACAAAGCCAAGGGTGTCACCTTCGTGCAAGATCCATCTTTGAGATGGCCAGCCAACAAGGCCAATGCTGCAACAGCCCCAATCAAGACTGCATATATACTAAGATGTCAGACTACAAGACGTTTCATTACATAACATTTCACTATGTTTACTCTGAATGGGAAAAAGCACAATGCGCAACATGGTGTAACAAGTCCTACCTTCTTCATAAAAGAGCCATTAGAAACAGTCAGACGCACACTTGTGATTAGACATGCACATTGGCTTTACCAACCTGAAATACAGTGGGTATAGAAAAGAATCACCCCCCTTTAAAATAATCAAATTTTTCTTGCTTTGCAGCCTTAAATGAAGACAGACACGCAGTTTTTGTTTTATCCAGCTGTATTTACTCAGTGCAACTTATAACATCCAAGTGAAAGATTTAATGAGATGGTCCTCACTGCAGAACACAATATCCAGGGGGAGTGGTTGGATCCAGATCCAACTCTTCCCACTTTACATATACCTAAACCTACCCGTCTCCACCCCCTACACTCTTAAAAATAAAGGGGCTTCAAAAGGTTCTTCAAGCGATGCCATAGAAGAACCATTTTTAGTTCCACAAAGAATCATTCAGTCATAGGTTCTTTAAAGAACCATCTCTTTCTTACCTTTTTTTTACCTTTTGTGAAACAGAAAGGTTCTTCAGATGTTAAAGGTTCTTTATGGAACCATTTAGACAAAAATGATTTTTTTTTTACTTTTATGAAGCTTGAAAACTCCAGCAGTCTTCAGAATTAATCTTTTTTTTTTTTTCACAAAGACAATCAGTCAGGTTTGGAAAGACGTCTAAATGGTGACAGCATTTTCATTTTTTGGATGAGCTATTCCTTTAAGATATATAAAAGGCAGGAGGCCTCATGCTAAGACTCTTTTGCTGTCTATCTCTCATTGCTCATTCCTTTTCACCCTTTTCTTTTACCTGTGGTTAACTATGTTGTGGCCTTGAGCAAAGCACTTCATCTAGACACAAACTCAACACAAACACAGACTCCATTCAGCTCTTGCCTTGCGGCCAACGCAATCTGAGCTCAAGGGTCGATGCGGTCAGCACCGGCTAATGGCTTACACAGAGGTGTAGGCAGAATATTTTCTGCGGAGCCCAGAGGTGCTGCCCAAAAGATGTATTCTGGTGTCCACCCCAACCATACCAACCATTTGCTCTTGTCATCAACTCTGCGGGTGTTTTTCATTTGCGCCAGGCTCTCTCACTGCCATTTCTTTCATTGAGTCTCCCACATCGCCCCCCCAGCCAATGTTTGGAGATATTTTTAGCACAAAGAGGAGATGTAGAAAGGGTGACGGTAATTATATTCACAAATTATTACTGGGCACCATTCCAAAAACAGTTTGAAGCGTTTCATCATATGTGCGGTTGAGAATGTTTAGCCTATACTTCTGAAGAGGAAAATAAACAGAAGAGGTGGAGAGAAAGCGCCATAGATCTGGGAGGATGGAGGGAGTATTTCCCTGAGTGTGTTCTGCACTCCTGCAGATTCCCTCAATGCTCTCACACCATTCAACTTTTTCTGTTGAGCGCCGAGATCAGTAACGGGTTGATGCAGGGAGCTGCCGTATACCCCGATGTGTCTTCTGATCTGATCTGAGACACAAAACAACCTTATTTTACATGGCACCATGCTGTGCGTGGAATATGAAAGACGGGAAAACTGGGAACTTATATTCTAACAGAAAAGACATGCATTCAAAAAAAGTCACAGAACTACCATTAGGCTCTCTTCCAAAACCTAGTGAGCAGTAGGCAGCATTTTAAGGCACTTAGGCGCTTTTGCATTCAAGGCGTTTTTGTGCTAAAGTGTTGACTTAATTATGCTGCCTCCTAAAATATCTTATTTTGGCTAAATTTAAACTGCAAGCTAAGTGAATATATAAATGGAAGATGATGTGAGAAATGCTGATTATTCGTATACTTTCAGTATTAAGTGAATTATACCCGTAATCAACATTTCTATCACATCATCTGCCATCTTGGATTTATGTTTTCACTGAGCTCTTGGTAATGCATCCTGTCAGTTTATAATTGAATTAATTTGTAATTTATTCAAAACTGAACGTATTAGTTTAAAGGGGTCCTATTATGCTTTTTCACTTTTTAAATTTTAGTCAGTGTGCAGTGTTTGGGCATAAAAAAGATCTACAAAGTTACAAATCTCAAAGTCCACTCCAAAGGGAGATATTTCGTTTTTAAAAAAATCCCTTTTCAAGAACTACAACGAACGGCTCGTTTGGACTACAGCATTGGTTTCCGGGGTTTGTGGTGTCACAAATCGGCCCATTAGAATATCATTAAAATAATTCCTGCCTACAGAAATTCGAATGCTTGGGGGGTGGGGAAGGGGAGGTCGTGGTTAGAATGCTTGGTTGAGTGCATCAGACGAGACGACGAAGAAGAAGTGCTGCTGCAGAGTTAGTGCATCAGAGAAACCGAAGAAGAAGAAGAGCTGCTGTGCTGTAGCGTCAAGATTTCGGCATGTCTAAAGGCAGTCACACACTAGACGTGAAGCACAGCGGTATGTCTAGAACAATTCTTACAACAAGTACAACAGGACGTACCTGGGTGCCGTGGACAGACGCTGAACGGCGCCGCTGGTGTGTGTACACTCATAGAAAATAATGTGTTTGAATTTTAAAGACGTGCCACGCGATGCTGCGACTACCTGAAACACTGTTTTTTTAACCTCCGTGCCCAAACGTCTTTGTTTGGGCTTCCGAAAGCGGATGATGTCAGGAAACAGTGGTTGCAATTTAATTTTAACTCTGTTCCTGAGCATTATAACCCCAATTTGCTATTGTGTGCTGCGCATTTTACTGAGGACAGCTTCCACAACACGAGGGAGTACAGTGCCGGATTTGCCAAAAAGCTTTTGTTGAAAGATGGAGCAAGGGGTGTGGCAGTACTGAAACACCGTCTAAGCTGTTTGCCAATCACAACGCACTGGGACAGCTAACCAATCACAATACTTTTCGTTTTTCGGAAGGTGGACCTTCATCAAACCCGGAACTAATCGAGCCGTTTGTGCCAGGCTGGGGAGAAAGGTACTTTAATAATGTAAATTATGTGAAAAATAATGCGTTTTTCGAACCACCAAGCATGAGAGAATGTTCTAGTAAACCCTCAAAACTAAATCAAGACTTTGTAAAAGAGCATAAAAGTACCCCTTTAAAATAACTGAAAACTGGTCAATTAACCGAAGAATGCTCAACAAAATTATTCAAAACAGATTTTTTTTACCCCTTTACAGAAATGAATGCACTGTGATGAGCACAATGGAAACACACACACACATATATACATATATATGAAATTTATATATATATAAATATTAGGGATGCACCGATACGATACCGAGAGATCGCGCGCACTTCTGTTGTGTGATCTTTGATGTTCACTCGTTAACCAACTAACATTATACATACTCTTTTGGTTTCAGTACCCAACATTTAAAAAAATTACAAATGCAATATAAATATTGGTATCGGTACTCTGTATCGGCAAGTACCAAAAATAAAAGTATCGGTATCGGGTGAGTACTGGAAAAAGTGGTATCGGTGCATCCCTAATAAATATATTCAATTATATAATATATTCAATTTTTTTCAATTGAAATTAAAAATGTACTATTGTACCTAAAGTTTGTGTGTGTTTTAACAGAGAATGCAATCCAAAAACTCTGGGAAATAAATAATGGCAATGTGAGAGAAGCAGTGATTACAGATTAAATTCAATACTAAAGTGTGTATATATATTAGGGTGACCATACGGGCCATTTTTACGGGATGCACCTTCGCCAGGATTTCTATATTGCCTAAAATATTCAGGTTTTGGCTGTTAGCACT